CCTCGGTGGGATTCAAACCCACGCTTGAATTCCACCTACTGAATTTGTCATATTTCAACCAACTCGGTAAAGTCGTTTCTTGGTTCACTGACGTCCTATCAGGTCCCCTTTAGGGGAATCTCTCTCTCTGGATACCATTCCTTGAAGCCATCAATACTCAACCGAATTTCTATTCAAAGCACCTTTATTGGATGATTCAGAGACCGGGTTATCCGTCTCGTCCCCCCTCCAGTGAACATACCACTTAATCAGCCAGGTCATTGTTTCATTCGTTCTGAAAGAACTGGGGTACTACTTTGTACCACAAAGCCGAGCATTATCTCCCCGATCTGTATATAGCCGGGCATTAGTTGTAATTTCTCTGTATTGATCGTCATTCATAGGGATGATGGCAAATGAATCTCGTGTCTAATGACACTCAGTGGTGCATCCTTGACGGGAGAGGAGGGAGCATACGGAAGACGGGTTGGGGAGTGTGTTGAAAAGGGTGCCCCTTGAAATGAGGAACAAACTGTCATTAGAACACTTAGCTGCATGTAATGGACCACGCGAGTTAAACGCAGCTGGCAGCTCATTTGTCATAATATCTGTATATGGAGAGAGAGAGAGTGGGGGGGGTGAAGGTCAAGTTTGGCGCAACGTATATCGGACATGTTGATAGCAATCTCTTCCTCTCGCGCACGCGCGCACTCATTGACATGATGACCTTTGGTCATTCTTCCCGATGCCAGTTTTATACACCAATCCATTAGAGCTTTGTATTCAATTTTCAGATAGATCATTCACGATAAGCTGGCAGACAATTCATTGTATCGGAGCTTGATTTGTTCCCAATCCGGTCCCGACAATAGTGATTTTTGACGCACATCACTACTCACAAGTAACATGGGACTAATAATTGCCATTAATCATTTATAACTTTCGATTCTAATAATTTTCGAATCAAACAAATCAAATATATACTGCGCTGCTCATGAAGCGCTTTTTTGCAATAATGCTCCCATCCAGTTTAGATGTCATTAAAAAAAGGTTTTATGGCAACAATCGTGAAGAAAATAGAATTACTTGAGTAGTAGTCTGATAAAAAAATGCTCATGTTTTTCTCGAATTCGAACTAAATGATCGCGTACAGTAATCGAATACAGACAGCCATACTGCGTTCAAAAACCCAATCAATGGTATGCCCAACAAACCTTTCCATCACATAAAAAACTGTTTCGGCGTTATATCCATACCATTTCCCACAAGTTCGGTGTTGCTGTACACGAGTTTGATAGTTTTTATGTGGTTATCAGATACTTTTCCCCTGGGGATAGCTTTAACGAATTAGGATGGCGGTGCCGCTATCACCAACACACACACATACACACCGAACACTGTGACCACCACAGAAATTAGACAGTATGGTGGCCTCATTGTGTTTGTTGCACTCAAACAAAGCAAAGTAGTTAAGCGGATGCGAAAAGTTTTTCGTACATGTCGTAGTGTGATAAACTCCATAATTAAGGGTATGTTCTTATTGATCATTCATGGAGCACGGCAAGAATTATATAAGGACCCTTATAGGGTAGGCGTTGAACTGATCCGGGAGATAACCGAATCGACTATTACCAGAATTAACTAAATGCATTTCTATATGATACAAATGGAGGGTTTTATTTGAATAGATGATGAATTCGTCGTGTAAATCAGGTGTGAGGTGAAAAGCTATATCGTATGCTATACCATGTATATTCCAAATAAGAAACGGTCTGATCAGCTGCCCCAGGGTGGCCGAGTGGGTAGTATGCTCGCGTTCTACCTATGAGGTCTCGGGTTGGCGTATTGAACTGAAGAAACCCAACCAGGTGGAAACAGTTGTCCAGTGCTTCCCAGCTTTTCAGCTCACGCCTCGTTTATACGACGAACTGATCATCTGACTGCGTTGTGTATCTCTGATGAAGACAGAAAAAGCTACTTTGTGTGTGGGGGGGGGTTGTCCACCATGCGTTCTGTAAGATTTTTCTAACTCAAAAACGGAACCTAGGCGATGGATCACAATCCGCGCATAGATTCGGATGAATCATCTCTCTTCAGGTACGTGTAAAACTGAACCATTTTTTTTACCGGATCAGCAACTGAAAACAACCCGACTAGTTATTCGAATTCAGTTCAAACAAATTTGATTCGCTATCAGCAAAAGGATTTTCTGAGATGACAGTTTGTTTGCTTAGATTTATATGGAAGATGACTTATGAGAAGACTCAAGATTCATGTACCAGGCGTTTGGATAGTGTTTTGCTCTCACTAGTCGCATCCTTTATCTATGGGGCACAGAACACTTTTGTTTGTCCCAGCTGATCGCATTAGGTTCCTGGATTTGAACCGTGAGACGGGCGTAACCGATGGTTCGAAACACGAAGTAGTATGATAAAGCTTGATGAACCATGGCACTCGCATCTCTACTCATTTTTTTCGCGATCTCTGAATTCTCTATTCGCATTCTGATGTTGCTTTCTTCCAACATCCCAGCCCTCTTTCTCTTGCCACTCCTGCATCCAAATGCGGAAACAAAAGATCGCAGACAAAACCACTGCACGAAAGCGCGTATCTGTTTAGTGGTTGTGCCACGCGGAAGCTGAAAGCCTGCGGATTTATTCAATATTCGGTTGAAGATATAGATAAACTAGGCAGGATAATTAAATTTAGACGTGTCACTTGACCAGAACCGGACCTGCTCATTCGCACTCCGTCATCGGCTAAACAAGACGGAGTGAGAAATATAGAATTACTGAGCAAGTTACTTGAACAATTTGAGTAGTAAAAATGGAACATAAAAAAACGGAATGGTCATGCAGCGTCAACGTGTCAGTCTCATTTCGCTTCCAATGCTTTTCGGCGTTAAGAGAGACACGCTGTGTAAGTCCCACTCATTGCGGTTTCCTAGCTAGGATCTTTTTTGTTCAGAAGCCAAATTACATGCCTAGTTTTATAATGACAGTATATGGATATTTAACCTGTCTCGGATATATGACAATCAACCAATCAAACTACAGACCAGGACGACCAAAGTGTATTGAACACCCGGGAGATGGGAGCCTCGTCTGAAGGATCAATGTTCCAACTAGCGAAACACCGGTGTCCAAACGGATTGGATTGGAGCCTAATCTGTCTCAGGCTCGTGCACCGTATTTACCTCAGTCCCCAATCCAGGACAATACCTCTACCTTCCTGGATAGCCTGAATAACTGAGTTCACTTAAATAGGATATAGATTATTTAGCCGGCGCAGAACACAGAAATAGAGTTAGTTGTTTGAGGGTCAATGGACCAAATGCTTGTGCTCGGGTTCGAATCCCAGCGGACCCGGTGGATATTCACTGATTGTAATTCCTAGCGAGCTACGAGAAACGGTTGTACGGTACGTCCAATAACACGTTGAAGCTGCATGCAGAATTCACCCTTATTGAAGAACAGGGAAGATAAAACGGGAGAAAAAAACAAACTTTTGTTTGTTGAAATGAAGACCCCCAGTGACCACAATATCATTCGTGTTTTAATGATAGGAAATACATAGAGTACGATGTACTAAAGATACTAACGATCGGGAAACTCTTAAACTCCGAACCTCAACCCCGGACATCAAACTGTCCAATCCCACAAACTGAATGACCAATGCGCAGATAGCCATCCCAGACCTGTCTTTGCCCTCACCCCTCACCCTCCAACGAGTGGGGGTGGGTGGGGATGAAAGAAGTACCAGTAGAATTTAATCACACCGACAAAGATAGATTAGAGTTCATGTGTGTGTGTGTGTGTCCGCAGTGAAACGCACAGTGTAAACGGTTGGGATTGGAACCGTGGGGACAAATGATGAGCGGAACGGAGGGGGTAGGGGGTAGGGGGGGCAGGAGGACAAGCTGAGCAATCCACTATTACCGGGGCGGGTGAAAGGCGAGAATGAGAGAAAAGAGCGTATGTGCAGTTCATTGTTGCACAAGAATTCATCCAAACCAACAAACAGACAAAAAGAAACGGCTAAGCGAAAGGGGCCGCACACACACACACGCACACACCTACACTGGGGTTGTCCGGGGAGTAGGTCTACGAAAAAAGGCCAGCAGGTGAGCAAACAGTCAGGGGAATAAGCTAACAATTGAAACCACCGGAACAATGATACCAAAAGTCAGCACAAACACCAACCCCTTTAACTGTTTGTTCATGGGATGAGAACAATTCAGAAAGTCCTAGAAATTTGTGTTAGTGGGAAATGAATCCGATTTGGGTGGGTGGGTGGGTGGATGGATGGACGGACAGGAGGGTGGATATGGATGGAGTGACAGTCGGGAAGGCAAGGGATGTCCCTAGACTGACGACTCAATGACGTGTTTGAGTGCGTGAGAGTGTGTGCATCCAGGATCTTCAAACGAGTGATGTACAACCAATCGGAAGAAGCGAGTGTTTGGTTTGATTAGTAAAAACACGAATGAATGCGATTGAGCGCATACGTTTTGTTTCCTGTTCGACTTTGCGTGTGTGTGTGTGTGTGTGTGTTCATTTGTGTAACACCCAACAGACTCGTGCCAATGCGATGGAACATGATTGTGAGTGGACAGAACAAGAGGGAGGTATGCAATTGCGTATTCTCCTCGGGGCAACAATCGAAAATAGGACTGGTGAAATTTTGGCGTTATTTTAAACGGTGGGCACATGAGTTGAACGGTAATAATGGTTGTGAATCTAACATGGATTGCAGTCGCGCGAAGCCACAGTTGCATGACAGAGGTGATCATGACTGTTTGAGTGTGTGTCCGTCTCTTTGTCGAGGTGAGAGCGATCGAATCGTCTGTCAAACCGGGCTGAGTGGCTTAACGGGAGAAGGAAGACAAGGGACATTGATGGCGGATGGCGAACAATGGCGATTTTCAGTGTCCTGATACGGAAATGTAAAAACGAACACTGCAAACAATTTCTGGCTGTGAATGCAGAGACTGATGCGGTCGGACCGGATTTCATTCAACGTTACATACTCGTGGTGGCAGATGAGAGGCCGCCCGTGGTGGGTCCGCGTCCGTTCGTCTCGGATTTGATATGGGCATCGTCTATGTCGAACGGATCCGGCACCACTGATTGGTAGGCATGTGGATGTCCGGTACACCCGGCACGTACATATCGTGGCGCAGCCGCGGCAGCCTCGGCTGCCTGTTGATCTAGTTCAGCCAGGCGTCCTTCCAGTTGGTGACGAAGCAAGCCGTACTGGTAGAGAATGGCATTTTTGTACTCGGCCTCCTCTTTGTCCAGAATACGCAAAAAGTTGGTCAGTTCGGCCGCGGTAAAATCTTTCCACTGAAGAGAATACATACGGGTTGTAAGTGTGTGAGACAGGGCACAAACGAACTAGCAACAAACGGTCAATACTTGCAGCTCATAGTAAATATTATTATCATATGCTCTGGCTTCATTGTATTAGATGTACTTTACATTGTATAACCTGTTATTATACACTCGGTACTATCCATGACTCAGAAATGAAGTTCCGTTTTCACTTCCCAACATATATATATATATATATATATATATATACCTCTGTTCCCTCCTCGTGGTGGAAATGTTTTCCCAACAAAGTGAGCGGATAACATCCGGGGCTATTACAGGTTCGTGAACCAATAGCAGATCACCTAGGGGAGTTGGTCACAAACCTTGATTTTCAAACCAACTAAGAAATGGTGTGCACACCACACACGCTTTCCTGATTATAGGGGTCGCCGGCTTGATTGGGTATTGAGGTGTATTGGTTACCTTGGACATTTGATTCCGTCCAGAAGACCAGTGATTCGATGAACTGGACAACTGCGCCCAATACAATGCGAATTTGACACACACACACACACACATACACAAGCAACAACCGTCCCCTGCTCCGTGGATCGGGCTTTGGTTAGCCAAAGGCTGCGGTTGTGAATACCGGAAGAAAACTCACCTGCTTTGGTCTGAGCAATTCGATAGTATTTCGTACACAAGCAAATCATGAACTTTTTCTTTGACAAAGTTAGGAAAATCGGTTTTCGTAGCCCAAGTGAACTGAATTCATTTTTACCTTTTCTTCGAGCTTGACAATTTACTGGCACACGTTTCTTTCTTCTAAAGATAATTTGCCCATGGTCTGGACTCCGAAGGTTCTACGTGAACTTAAAGCATACCTACAAAATGGACTAGATTTTTTATTGTTGTGGTTGTCGTCGTCGTCGTTGTTGCTGTTGTTGTTATCATTGCTGTTGTTGTTTTTGTCGTCGTTGTTGTTGTTGTTTTCGTTGAAGGATTTTTATTTTCCATGGAATTTAAGATGGTTCGATGGAATATCATGTAATTTAACCAAAGTAGAACAACCACGGTATGTCGCATTGCACAAACGCGAAACCGCGGGGCTGACAAACGCCCTTGGTGCATCGACTAGGCAATACCAGGGCACTAACATTGGCCACGCTTTGCACACTTCATACAAGTGGGCGGTGGTGGTGATGGTGCTGGTGGTGGTGGTTTTTCTTATGATTCGCGTTGCCTAAACAGATTTATTGTGATGCTATTTATCAAGTCCCAGTCGATTTAGAATCTGCCTCCACGGCTTTTAACAAGAAGACAGAAACCGGGAGGTAATTCATCGATAGAAAATAAACAATACCGTACATTGGGTTCTTATTAAAACCTGCCACGGAGTTCATATTCTCACTGCACACATGCCATCTCCGAGTGGCCGATCCAATCCCTTTCAACTTGGACCCGGAGAATGCTTACTCTACAGAATGTTTTGTCCAATCAGAGACAAAAATAACACGACAAAAAAAACGCATGGAAAAGCGCACAGTGTAACACGCAGCAAGGCAGCAAGGCTGTTCATGTTAAGGCTGTTCTCTGATTTTCTTTATCTTCGTTTCTTTTTTATGCAAACGAATCTCATCCCCCTAAACTCCTTTTCAGTTCCATTCTTCTTGTCCTGTTGGCATCAGAGTGTAGTTCTCAAACTCTGTGCCAAAAATACATACTGTTTTGAGATAGATATCGTTATTGGACCGGATTGATCAGTCCTCGTCTTCACGCATAATAGCACCACGAATAATCAAGTCAATCGTACAATCGAGAAACACCAACTAAAATTCTGCAGCAGTTGGAACGCATTATCGTACAGTGATGGAAACCAAAGCCTAAACCCCGGGACTTGGAGTAGTGAACCACTTAAGGCCCCGCTAACTCAGGCATGCTATAGAACCGGGCGACAACAAAGCTTCCCACCACCAAAGTTGGGTGACGGTGACCGGACTGGAACCTCGGACCACAGGGCTTAAATCACGCCGGTGACAGCGACTAAACGATTGCGCTACCGCCACCCCCATGCACGCCCATATTTTTTTTACCTCTGACTCATCGCATTGAATGCGTCTGTTGCCAACGTGGAAACTAGCTCAAACCGGCACTGACCAGAATCATCGATTCAAGTTCACACAAATATCATCGTTGATTTTGAGCAAGACAGCTCACTTTGACTCCGCGTTCGTGGATGTCGGACCAAGTGAACTGATTCCGGAGCCCTTCGTTTGCAGAAACGGAAAGTGATGGTTCCAATCAGTCTGGTATGAGTTGATTGCGGAAACATACACGCCGTCCAGGATTCAGTTATCGGTGGATATACTCTGTTGATTCTAAATGGAGAGCGCAGCTCAACTACATATAGTGTTTCCCGAGGACAGAGGTGATTGGAAAAGCTTAAAATCGTGTGCGAAAATAAACTCGGTGGGTCTGTTTGTTCATCAGGTTCGTTTGTTGAACTGCCTCTAAACAGGTTTTCATTGGATGATCGAAGGAAAAGTGAGTGACCAAATTAGGCCGGAATACTTCTGAGCAATGGTTTTCAGTTATGCTTGAAACTGTACTTGAGGAACTCAATCATGACTGACTTGACATTTCCGTAAACCATCTTAAAATACAGTCTTGGTATGATATATATATAATATATATATATGTATATATATATATATATTATATATATATATATATCAATCGATCGAAGGGAAGATGCCCGTGGCATCGCTGGTTACCGTTTGAGGTTAAAAATTCAACATTCACTAGAAAATATGAAGTATTTACGAGGAACTAAATGATTCTAACAACCACGTTTACACTCTGGCAAGTTCAATGCGTTTACCCCGCTAATCATTGTACCATGAATCACGTCAAAAATAGTTTGACAATTGAAAGGTCGTGTATATTGTGCTAGCGTTCGTTCAGTTCTGCTTTATGGTTGAGACCTTGAATTTGCGAGTAGAAGATATCTGTCGACCAGAGGTTTTCAACTATCGGTGTTACGTAGTTTAGCCCACGTGGAATGCAGCGAACAGGTTAGTAGTCTGGAGGTAAGCCGTCATGTATTTGGGAGTTTATTGGGGATAAACCTACTAGCACACAGAAATCAGATCAGTAGACTTCGTTGGCTAGGACACGTATTGTGTACGTCCAGCTGTCGTCTACTGCACAGCGCTTTATTCACTATAGCCATTCCAGGCTGGAGAAAACCACCTGGAGGTCAACAGATCACGTGAACGCGAAGCATGGAGAAATGCACAAAGCCATTAGGTAGATTAGGTGTCTCACACCATCCTAGTTGTGGTCCGAAAGACTCCCAAACCGCATAGTTGGAGACATTGAAGAATATGGCGGCTAACCGACAGCAATGACGTTCTTGTTGTCATTTTTTATCAGGCCTGAATGCATAAAAAGGAATGTATGCACAGTCAGATTGTGTACTCTGTGTATTGACGATAGAGATTCAACTTTTTCTCCCTGCCTCCCTGCCTCCCTCAAAGTAGGCACAAACTCAGTGCACCTTAAATTTTACCACTAACCTTGCACGTATTTGTGAGTTTGGCACCGATCAGTGAAGTTCACTTCGCTGATGCTCGCAAGAAAGACAAAACAATTCAAATAAAACTCACATCAATATCACATGCATCATTCTCTTGTAACACGATGCGTTTCTGTCGTAGCAAATCCAGAAATTGATCACGTGAAGTACTTTGGCGGACCCAGTTCAAAAGAATCATCAGTGGACATTCGGATGCAGCCAGTTTTCGAGCAACAACTGTAAAATGAGCAAGATGAACATGGATACATATGTACATTACGGTGAGTATGTGCGGGGGAGTGAGGTAGAGGATCGAACGATGGGCAATGCGAAACTCTGACCACACATTCTGCACTCGCTAGCCATCGCGCAATCCGCCATGGCAAAGCAAACGGAACGGAGAAAAAACGTATCGAAACTTATGCAATATGCTGTATTACTTTCCGACTCTGTTCGCTCACCACCACCCGTGTTGTTGTTCAATCAACTGTCAGATGCAGACAGACACCAAATTTGCAGACAAGAAGTCAGTAGACCGAGATCTAACATATTTTGACCACCATGACAAACGGTTCAGCAAAAATTGGGCCCAAAACAAGCACATACACACACATACAACTGGAACGCCTATTCAGTTTGGAACTGTAAGTACTGTGGTCCGATCATACTACAGGTTACGAAACGGCATATAGTGCGGGGGAGGGGGGAGTAAACAAGCGAATGTTTCGATACAACCAAAAAAAATGTTCACATTCTAACGGTATAACGGTTAACAATGTGCAGAAAAATTATTTGCTGCATATCTCAACTGTGCACAAATCATACAAGTTAACAACTATCTAATCTCGAAACTCGAAACTTTGATCGCTTTCTGGATCATTTTCTGCAAAATACATCTTATATCCACCCCCGTGCGGAATACTAAATCATTCGGCAGTCCGGCAACCGTAAATCAAAGGTACCATTCGATGATAATATTTGCATTCATACAAAGTAAAGCGTCATCGTACTTTTTGCAAACATTCTATCTCCATAGAAGTACATTGATATTGTGCACGCCAGTTACCTTCGCTTCGTAATAAAAAAAACTGCGTACCTGAAAACAAGCAATTTATTAGTTTTTCATTTCCATGGCAATGGTAAACCATTAACCGACCACACGGTTACCTATACGGAAAATTGAAAATGTTGGGTGGTGGGGGTGGTGGGACTCGAAAACACGTCCGCGCGGAGCGACGAGTTGATGAGCGTCATCGTTTCACCATCGCCACCACCTTTCATGGAGTACCGTTAGCGACAGGTACTGAAATGCACAGGCTGGAGAGGTACAAACGCATGACTGAAGAAGTTAGTGACAAAGTGCGAATACACAGCCGGAATGAACGACCGGAAAGATTTCCGAACTCACTGGTATTATCCTCCAGTGTGTGCTCATACAAAGCAAATTTTCTGGCCGATTCCTGAATAT